GACGAATCCGCGACGGATATCGAAACGTCAGGCGAATAAACATATTGTCTCAACGATCAAGTCTTCTTCTCAATTGCTTCCTGGGACACGGATGTTCGCTTGTATTGGCATGTGGCTTTATCAACAACGTCGGCCATACCCTCCACCAGTTGTCCTTACATTGTCTCACTATCGGAATAAGGTGGATGGGTATGAGAAGAGTGTGGTTGGCACTGTGCAAGGCGGCCTCACGATACACTAATTTAAGCACAGGTCGCCTGTGCTGCGCAGCCCCCGCACCCCCCCCCACAGTTTCACAGAACACACAGATGACGTCGTCGCTTGCAACAATCTGATTGGCGTGTAAGGTTTATTCTGGCCGTTTGGACATTGTCCTGGACGTCCGATACTGGGTGAGTATCAGCATGAAGTCGGTGGAAAAGATTCACTTCCAACACCGAACCATTTGGAAAAAAAAGATGATTCTTCCATTCCCTTTTCGGTATAACTCCATTTAGCAGCCCACGTTGGCACTTTAGCCAGTCATTTTAACCTCCTCTCTGAACTTGCTTTGGGCTTCCACTTTAGGTTTGTAAACCTTTTTTCCATCCACAGGCAGTTGGCGGTTCTGGGAGCCGGGTTGATGGGCGCAGGTATAGCTCAGGTCTCCGCGCAGCGCGGTCTGCCTACAATCATGCGGGATGTCTCAATAGCAGGCCTGGCCAGAGGTCAGCACCAGATTCAGACAAATTTGGACAAAATGGTCAAACGCAAGCGCATGTCCGTCGTGGAGAGAGAACAGGTTAGTTCTATGTACAACTGGTGTTTATTTCACCTTTATAATATCAGAAAACAGTTTTTTTCAATGAAACGCCACAAAAGCATTTAATGTGTTGTTGGATGGGAGCTCCCGATCGTGGTCTGTGTACGTTTATAAATGAATATTTATATTTTCGATCTAAACTGGCAAGACAACGAGCTTGCGGTTAGTGTTGGACTTCTGAGTAAAAGGTTGCGGGTTCTAGTCTCGAGTGGTGAAATACCTGGGGCTGGATATGGCTGGCTGGTGACGGTTTCCGGAAGTTGTCATTATAGTCTCTCGGGTCTTTCCCGGTCAACGGTCCGTCGTGGAAAACTGCCCTTTCTGCATCTTATTAAACTGAAGGGAAATCCAAACTCCAGTAGAGTTTAATTCAAGGCATGTTGTTTGCAATTCGAAGTAACCGGAATGCTTATAGTTCGGCACAGTTTCTGTGTTTATTCGCACATATTTTAGGAATGTCTGTGCGTTGCGGCTGTAAGAGCTCAGCGCTCGGTGTTGTATCCGTGTAGTTTTTCTGCCACGGCTAGGTTGTTGTTGTTGTTGTACTAGCTTACTCCCTTAACCTAGTTTGCCAGCA